ACAACTGTGAGATCTTCAAGAGTAGAGTGTGCATTGATCATCTTTGTGTTTCTGGTGATCAGCACATTAGCCCGGGCCTCAATAAATAGTTGTTGAATGAATTAATGAATAAATGTAATGGGTTGTATACTTAGAGTAACAAACTCCAAATAACCTCCACCTACCTTCATCAGGTAGTGTCTGTTTTACCTCTCTGTACTTGCCTAACCTGCCCCTTCACCTGAAAACCTCTGACAGTACTCATCTTACCTTTTAAATGGCACCTCATATATGGCCCTTGCTTCTTGCTTGTTTCTGATGCACTTTTCTCAGTAACAGTCCACATGTCATACATGTCACACATGCCACCATGCTCCTCCTTTCCACTCAAAGTTGACTTGACAATGGATCTTAACACACTTTTCTACCAAGTCTAGACTGTCCAGAATTCTTTTCTGAACTGAGAATCCGTTTTAGAAAGGCGCCATAATGGAGCTGGCTTTCAAGGTGCAATAATTTGCCATCCTGGGTGTGGTACTTCAGAGCATACACTTGGATCCATAAAGGTGTGGTGGCAGATTCTGGCTCTGCCATCCACTATCTTTGTTATTTGGCTTTTCTCAGACTCAGTTACCTCTGTAAAAATGTAATTGTAATGTCTGTCACAGAGGGTCAGGCAAGTGTTGAATGAGGTAAGATGTGCAAAGCTCTAAGGACAGAGCAGTGTGCTCAAGTGCTCAGTAAATAGGAGTTATTGTGCAAATGGACTCTTTCCTTTTCCAGCTGTTGCCCCAACCCTCTGACTGCAAGTGTGGTTACATTCATGCTTTATTTCTTTAACATACTGATTTTTAAAGGGGCGAGAGGGAGTGGAGAATAAATGCCCTCTTTGGGGAAAGGAAGAAGCTAATCAGATTCTAAACAGGCAGGGCATGATGTTTCTTCGTATATTTGCCAAGCTGTGCTAAGTAGCTAAGTAATAGTCAACAAAATCATGAGATTTTTTTGCTTTTTAAATAAAATTTTTAAATACGGGTTTAACAATATTAAGCACATAGAAGATTGAATCATGTAATGAGTCACTTCAATTTTTGACAAGCTTCTTAGTTCAAAGCCCTTAGATACCTCCTGTAATCAAAACCCATTTTCAAATTCAGAGGAAGATATTATCTAATGATCCACTCAGTCTTTTCATGTTCTTAATTTGGGGTCAGTTTCAATGGCCTGTCTCACATCAGCTGTCATTTTTGTTATCGAAATGTCACTTCACATTACACTTTTCATTGGGACAGTTCTCATCTTTGGTTTCAATTCAGTTTAATTCAAATCAGATCCATATGTCTCAGGACAATTGAATTCACTTAAAATCCCCTCTGGTTAGATAAGATTGTAACCACTACTTCCTGTTGATGCCACTAAAGTTCTTGATACCTTCCAACCCCTGGTGCTGCCTGGGAGGCCACTGGGTCTGATAACAAGGACACTGCTGCTTCTGCCCACTGAAATGGGCCTAGTGCCAGCCCTGGAACCAGCTGGGCCAGCCATATAGCCACCAGCGCTTGCACTACCATTGCTATCTCCAGTGTTGATGCCACAGTCTCCACCACCCCATCTCCTCACCAAAATCCTACTGGGTCAGTGCTCTTCTGAACTATAGAAAAATCTTTCCTTATGCCTCATTTTATGGAAATCTTGGCTGAGAAACAACTCATTAGGTTGTAAGAGTTTGGAAAGGTGTTGTAATTTGCTTATTTTGTTTTGTTGGTTTGGTTGAATTTTTCCTGTCTTCCCCTCACAAAAGACAGACAAAAGGGGTTGGTCCACAGCACAGTTCACCCATGCCGTACTCAAAACTGCCCTTCTCCTGGAACTGAACTACTTTTTTCATACCTAACTTGTATACCTGTCTTTCCCTAGGAGAAGTTTGTTTCCAAGAAGCTTCTCTTGCAAGACCCCTAGTAGAGATGACCTCACCACTCCACCAGACGTACTGAAACTCCTTTATCCCATCATCTTGTGGGCTCGCAGACCAAAAGCACTCTGGGGCCTTAGTGTCCACTGTCCTTTGTAGGAAAACAAAGAATGGACCAGGCAGGATCAGGACCTAGAAAACTAAAGAAGGAGTGACCAGTAGGCCACTCCACAGTATTGCCATGGGCTGAGCTTGATTCCAGCTAACTGCATACACAAGGAAACTCACGAAGTGAGCAAAGCCCAGCCATGGAGGGCAGGTGGGAGCTGCACTATGATTTGGCCATTGGCAGCATGGCCTCTGCTAGTGGTATGCCTGGGTACGGGGACTGGTGAAAGGTTGGCTGAGGTCATAGCCCAGCCCTCTTAGGAGACTTCAGATAAGACCGTAAGACCGTAACAAACCAGGGATAGAAGTGGTCCCTGAGGCTGGCACTTTGGGAGAGCTCTACCCAAAGATGGCTGAAGGGAGTACTCAAATGGAGAGGTGAAACCAAAGTCAGAACAGGGAAGAATGGGGTTGTGCATGGAACTGAGGGGGCAAATGAGATACACATGCTGGTCACTAGCCAGGGGCATCCAGAGAAGCGGAATAAGAAGATAGGAAGCCGTAAGTGGGATATGGCACCTGCTGTATGCTACTAGCTTGGACTAGGGTTTCTTAAAGTTGCCTCATCTGACTAGATTTACAGTGTCTAGAAAACCAGGCAGAAGCTCAGATGTATAAAGTAGACTTATAGAGTGAGTTTAGGAATGATGCAATTGCTGAAGCTTAGACTTTGAAGTTAGAAGTCTTGGGTTCAAATCCTAACTCTGACACTTAATAGCAGTGTGGCTTGGGACAAATTAATCTCTCCACATCTCTATATCCTCCAGTAAAGAACCTCATAGGGTTCTTTTGAGGATTTGTAAAGTTCATATCCTACTTCCTGGAACACATTAGGTACTCAAAACTGAAGGAATGTGGCATGTGGCCTCGTTGGCTAATAGCAGCACAACTAATTCCAGATCGCATTCATTGGTGGGGCTGACCCTGTTGACAGTTTGCCTTCCCCGATAAAGAAGGACTCAGGGACTGGCGAGCTGGCTGGCAGATGTGCGACTCACAGCTGAGAGAAGGGACTCTGGGAACCAGGGTCTGAAGTGCATGGTTGGTTGGGAAGTAGAGCCATTTGGAAGGCGCTCCAGAGCATCAGCTGGTCTGGGAGAGTTGTATTTGAATCACAATATAAGGCAAATATCCATTCACATTTTCCTCTTCCACTCCGAAAGGAACTCCCTTTCCCAGGGGTATGGGTGTGCCCACACCCAGGCACAGGCTTCAAAGCCAAAGGTCACAGTCAGACACGGCTTTCCCTCTGCAGTGTACGCTCTGGCTTTTATTACTTTCTCTAAGTTATAGCCTCACGTGTGAACATTTGATCTTTGAAATGCAATCCGTGTAGTCCAGTTTGAGAATGTTTGCGCATCTCCCATAGACTATGTGCACATTTTTTGTTATTGCTCTGTCCATGGAAGAGACTCTAGTTCTCTTTCTCTCTGTGACTGCAGCATTAATACCCTTAATCTGTAGTGGAAGTTGCCCTGTGTTTAAATTAATGTTACCGCACCAGGTCCGTTTTTTGCCCGCCACACAGAAAGCCAATCACCGAGACGACGGGATTGCGGAGAGAGAGGGTTTAATCACAAGGCAGCCAAGTGAGGAAAACGGGAGAACAAGTCTCAAATCAGCCTCCCCAGAAATAGAGACTTGGGTATTTATGGGGAAGGGGGCAAGGTGATCTGAAATGATTGGAGGTGAGGAGAGATGAGGTAATTGATGATCTGCACAAGCGTAATCAGGCTTCACGTTTCTTCATAGGACACATGTTCACAGAATGGCAGCATTAGCATGCCCTGAGGTGGAGTTCCAACCTCTTGCCATCAAAAGGGCCCAGTTGATGGGTTGGTGGTCTCAATCCGGCCTGAAGTGGACAAGGGGTTCAGTTCCTGGAAAAAAATAGCTCAAACACCCATTAACATGGTAACCCAGGCTCCAGGGAGATGTCATCTATAGGAACCTAGTGGGAGTCAGACAGCATATTGCCCAAACAGCACAGTTAACAATGAGTAAGTTTATCATGCAGATTTAAGTCCTCACCTTCCATTCTGATAAGTTTCTAGGTAAGGCCATCCCCCTTTCTTCCTGGTGCAGGGAAGAAGATACCTTTACAAATGGAGATTTTCTTTACAAATGTAAATGTCTCTCATAAAGGGTAACTAGAACTAAGAATGGGCTTAGCAGACCCACCCAGGTACCTGGAGATATCTACAGTAATGGCCTTTTCTAGGGCCAGGCCTCCCAACCCAAACTCCTTTGGTCAGTTAGTGGGGGTGGGGTTCAAAATGTCATTCAGGCAGAGGCATATATTGAGTTCGCAAATTCCAATCCCCCATAGTTACTAGCTGTTTAAGCATCAATGGCTGTTTGCCAGTTTCATTAAGTTGAACGCTAGGCTGAGTGTGAAATACAAGAAATCCTGCTACTCTAAGTCTGGGGCTCCCTTGAAAGAGCCCATCCTTCACAGCTGGGAAACAAGATAATTGACGTGGCTCCATGCAGACCCCCGCTCTTCTCCTCAGCCTTACTTCCTCCTGCTCCACTCCTCACAAGAGATTCTGACGATTCCTCCAACACACCGTGTGTCCTTTCCTGTCTGTGTGTCTTTGCACAGGCTCTTTCCTCTGCCCAAAATGGCCTTACCTCCTTCTCTCTTGATGGACTCCCCTTCAGCCTAAATGGCCCAGTTCAAGACTTACCTCTCAGAATCCTCTCTGTAGGCCTCCTCAGTCCCCGTAAAGTTCGTCCTTCCCTCCTCTTTGCAACCCTCTGTTATTCAGCTTCTGACATTGTAATTGCTCCCTCCTTGAGCCCTTTGAAAGCAGGGGGTGTGTCTTACTCATGATATCTGCATCTCCAGCATCTATCACAGTGCCTGGCACTTGTTTGGTACACATTAAAAATATATGGATGAAAACCAAAGCGTTCTTTTTGTTTCTTCTTCCTACAGAAACGATGACTATGGGTAAGAGGACTGCTTGTGCCGAGGACACAGTAGGACAACCATCTTACAAAGATCTTAAGGAATTTTCCCATCCAACAACACCCAGATGACTCCAGTGACCAAATGCTCAGCTGTACCCACAGCAATAACTGGCCTGCTTTCCAGATTGGGTTTGGTGAACATGAATGGTCCAGCCGTCTTCAGGTGGCCTAAGGTGGTGTGCTGTATGGGAAGCACATCTCACGGCCAGGAGCCAAGATCGGACTGTGGAAGAAGCCAACTAATATAGTGAGAGAACTAAGAGTAACCAGGAGTACCAGGGCTCTGAGTGATTACAAGTCCCTGGTGATGGAGTCACAGAACCTGCTCTGCCAGCCTCACTCTATGTGATATTTGCTCGAATGCCCTGGAAGGACTGAATATTTTAAAATATATCCAGGTGCTAAATAGGCAGCAGATCTAATTCACACTGGTCTACCTTTGAGCTAATAACTGTCTCCAGAAAATAATTTCACACAAGAAGTGCTCCAGCTTTGTAAGGAATAGGCCCAGGAGAGGAAGAGGATAAGCTGGCTGTTCCCCTGGAGAAAATCTAGTGCAAGGAGGGCTAGTTAACAGCAAATTCACTGCCCCCTCCCATGCACATGGCAGTGAGTACCAGTTGATCATGGCCCTCTCTTCTGCTAAACCCAGATTCTGAGGAGTCACAATCCCCAACACTGTTTTCTAGATAGGCAGCAGCCACTTCCTTTCAATGCGTGTTGGCATTAGAATGAAAGTTACTTGTCATCCCTGTTAGAGAGGCATATATCTCAGTGGTATAAGCAACTGGAATATCCTTTCCCAGGCGCATTTGTCCACTGAGGGAACAGCCTCAGAAATAGATGTACCATTGTGTGAGCTGAGTTCATGGAGAGATAACACAGCTGTCCCTGGACTGAAGGCACAACTTTTGGGCCTTCTTGGCCTGAGTGCCTTCTTCTAGGGTATTTCCATATGCAACAGCCCAGAGGCACAGCCTTGGGCAGCCACAAACAGGTGTCCTTTTCACTTCCAGACACATATATCACTTTCATAGCACTTGGGGAATGGAAATACCTACAAGAGTGAAGGTCAAGGGCTCTCCTGGATATCTCATTCATTACTCAGCTTCCTTTGTGACCACATTAGCCAACCCACTGCCAGCTGTGTTCCTCATCCTCATTGCTTCTGCTTCCAAATAAGTGAAACCAAAGGCCTCAGCATAACCCCCCCAGGGGAGGCTATTACCTGGTGGTCCTCTCTCTCCCATAATGGATGCAAGGTACCCCAGCCACACGTTTGCACCAGTTCTCCAAGATATCATTTCCCTTTTCATACAATCCCTTTGCAGCAGAATCCAGAGTTGGATTGTAGTTTACCTTCCTGGGAAGCTCATTATCTTCACTTGAAGTAACATTTCAATATGGGACTAACTGGGTATAAGCAGGGTCATTGCATGTCTTCAGAAAGTTCTTGTTGCCACAGCTACCTGATACAAGGAACTACCCTAATGTCAGATCTGAAAAGGAAGGAGGCCTTTGGTTGTGTGAGGCAGTGTTACTACACTCCAGCTTCACGCGTTCCCTAGCCTGCCTAATCCATTTCCATCTCTGATTGGCTTTCAACCTCCACGATCCAAAGGGAACCCAAGGCTCTGCCTGTGTCTGTTGACATGGGAAGAATTCAACTTTCTTTGCCCAACGTTCCGCTCTGCGTATTCCTTGCCATTCAGACATCCTCCACCATACCAGTACTTAGAACCAAAGCATGAAGGACTAGTGCCAGCAGGAAAATCAGCAGAAATACTATCTCTAGATCTAGGCAGATGAGCCCAGTAGAATGTTCCCAGAGAAAGCAGATTGGCCCCAGTAGATAACAAGCAGCCATCCCAATAAACTTTGACATGTCCTCGGCACTAGGAGCCTGGGTGGGAGATCCTGGGGTAGCTGTGCCTATTGTTCCCCCCTAGGATCTTCCTGCCCAGAGAGCTAGCAGCCCTGGGGTACTAATGAGTATGCTATTGGCTTGTTGGTATGAAATAGAAGGTGGCTTTGTAGGGGCCAGCAGGCAAAGAGGCCTGCCCACGTGGCAAGTAGGTGGCCTTGTGTCTGGAAAGCTTTGCCTAGCCGCTCCAGCTACAGCCAGAGGCTGATTATAAATTTGAACTCCCTGAGGCCATCTGCAACTCTGCCTCTGTTCTCTTGCATTCTCTTTGATTTCCCTTTAGTTTCCTAGTAAATGTTCCTTTTGAAAAAATTCCAACTTTGTCTCATTGAACTTGGGGGGAAGGGGATTCTCCAACATCTTTTCCAGGATAGAGAAGGAAACTAAAGTACCTTGAAAAAAGGGAAATGACAGTGGGAAGGGATATGCCCTGGTTAGATCTTAGGAAGAGACCTTGGGGAAAGCTGGTTCCAAAAGACGGGGAGAGACCGGTGTCTCCCCCACCCACCTGGCACTGGTCTCAGCCCCCTCCTCTTGCTTCCTTTATCTTCAAGGAGATCTGCCCTGGATGTGTGTTGCTGCAAAAGCATCTTCCCGGCCAGTGAACTGGGCACATTTAGTCCAGGAAGTACACTGGCATATGACCAGAGGAGGAATAGGGGAGGTGAGGGGAGGGAAAGGAGTGGTTTCTACAATGTGGATGTTTTCAGAATGTTCCAACAGTCATGATTCTGGAATGATTTAGTCCTCACGGCCACTAATAGAACTACATTTCATATGAAGAGAAGAAAGTAATACTCTTATACTTAAGCCAAAGAGACTGACGAAAGATAGATCTGGAAAGCGTCTTGCTATCTTCATGACCATCCTGTCCTGCGATGGTGGATGTTCCAATTATTGCTGCCTAACAAAGCACTACAAAGCTTAGTGGTTTAAATAAAAAGTTATTATCTCTCATGATTTTGTGGGTTGGCTGGGCTTAGGTGATTGCTCTCTCTTGGGGTCTCATGGTTGCTATCAGATGGCAACTGAGACTGGTATCATCTAAATGCCTGACTGGGCGAGATATCCATGATGGATTCTTTTCTCACATGTCTGGCTCCTCCACTGGGATGACTGAAACAGCTGGAGGCTGGTTTCTCTCTCTCCACATAGTCTCTCCACATGGTTAGCTTGCACTTCCTCATAACACGGAAGTCTCAAGGTAGTCAGACTTCTTACAAAGCAGCTGTCTTCCCCCAGAGCTAACATTACAAGAGGTCCCAGTAGATGCCCAGTAAATAACCTCTGATGTAACACAGAGTCATTCCCACCACATACTATTGGTCAAGAGCAAGTCACAGGGCCAGCCTAGATCCAAGGGGAAGGGATTACACAAGAATGAATACCAGAAGGTGTGGCTCATTGGGGCCACTTTGGAGATAGTGGGGATGGGAGTGGGGGAGGGGTGCCGTGTCACTGAATCAGAGGGCTTCCTGGATAGCTGTCGCTTTAAAAGCACATGCAATATTTAACATGCAGAAGGGTGGAGTGATGAGGGGAGTAATAAGGGGCAGAGGAGGGGGGAAGGGCTGTCCATGGACACTTGAATAGAGCTTAAGCTAAAGAAAGGCACTGGTTATGACTGATACAGAGCTTACGATGTCACAAGAAATGCTGGAGGAAAAAACATGATTCTTATCATTCTACTTGACTGCTCAAAAGCTTGAGATGGATGCTTTTTTTCCCCCTCATTTCTGAGCCAAAGTAAAGGTGCAAACAGGACATTCCCATGCTTGGGAACATATTTAGAGGTGAAAATGCTAAGTAGAGACTGTCTGTCCCTTTTCTGAAGACTTCAAAAAGAATTATTGCAGGGGGCCAGCCTGGTGGCGTGGTGGTTAAGTTCACACGTTCTGCTTTGGTGGCCTGGGGTTCGCAGGTTCGGATCCCGGGCGCGGAACGAGACGCACTGCTTGTCAAGCCATGCTGTGGCAGCGTCCCATATAAAGTAGAGGAAGATGGGCACAGATGTTAGCCCAGGGCCAATCTTCCTCAACAAAAAAGAGGAGGATTGGCAACAGTTGTTAGCTCAGGGCTAATGTTCCTCAAAAAAAAGAAAAAAAAATTGCAGCTAATTAAGAGAGAGAGAGATTTTATCAAATCTGCTTGAAATAGCATAATTCATGCCAGTTGTCCCCTTTGCATGAGGTCCCCACATCACTAGTGTTGCCATGGTGCCTTCTCCAGTTGACGCCCCCCCCATCTCTTGCAGCAATCCTGCCATATGAAAGAGTCAGGTCTAGTCCACTGCTCTTCCCCCACCCTGGCCTCCTCCTAACTCAACCACCTTGCTAGAACTTTCAAAGCAAAAGAAAGTGACTTAATGAACTGAGAAAAGGACACAAACATGGATATGTATGTGGCCAAAAACAATGTCTGCAACCTGTATCTGGATCTTGAGAATTCTGCAGGCCATTTAGCTGCCCATGACCACCCATTTCACTGACGGCCACTGAGGGCTATTGGGAGTGTCCAGCCTGGAAGTTCCCTGGAAGTGCCATCCACACTCAAGCCAGAGAGGATGGTCTTACTTATTGCTTTATTGTCCCATTCTAGATCTCTGGGAAGAGTATCTCTTTCACACATCAGATTTCTGAGCTGGTGGCTGACATGGAGCACAACCAGAGGCTAAGAGTGGCCAGTGAGACCTCTTTGTGACTCAGGTTTTCTCACTGATGAGACCTTCTGACTCTTCCCCCTCCAGTCCTCTCTCAGGGCCAAAGAGAGGTGCTACATCTTAATATCCTTTAATAATCTCCTGCGGGCACTTCGCTAGTCACAGACCCAGTGATGCCGGCCACAAGGGTGCCGCTTGGCACCTGTCTTCTAAGCCAGAAATAAGTCATAGGCAGTGTTCAGAGAATTCTGGTGTGTCTCTGAGATGCCCTTTCCAGAGAAAAGACACATATCAATAGAGCCCGTCTGTTATAACACATGCTATTTCACCTTCTACCCAACTTCATATGAAATAGACTGACCTTCGTGGAAGAGGTGAAATAGTAAAGCTAAGGAAAAGAAAATAATCAGAGAAAAAAATTGCCCCACCAGTTGAGGAAATATCCCAGGGAAGAACTGCAGGATAACTCCAAGGAAAACAGAAAAGAGAGGGTTGGCTGGTATCCCAGGAGCTGCAGAAGGTAAGCTCAATGCTCATCTCTAGGCCCAGATGTGAGGGAAAGAGAAGCTCTGAGCAGTGACGTGAACCTGCCTCTGGTGTTGATGATGTCAGGTGTAAACCTCTCTTTGCTCGGTCTCCCAAGAGAACAAATCAAGGCTCTCCA